AGGCCCTAGAGGGGATGGGGCACAAGACTAAGCAGGCCCCAGGCGCTCAGCTCCGCAGATGCCTTCCTCCGTCGTCGCACAACCCCAGACCTTGATGACGATGTTGTTGAAGTAGGCCTCGGGAGTGAACTTCTTCTGCGCAGCACGTCCGTAGAGAGGCTGGGTGTTCAGCTTGATGCGGATGCAGTTGTCGGTGCTCGTGATGATGATTCCGGCTGCAGGGTCCGTAGTGTTGTCGTTCAGGATCTTCAGGGTTGCACTCTCGACGTTGGGGCTGCCGACCACGTAGTCGTCGCCGACCTTTTTCACGATGTACTTGTCGCCGTTGTTGATGGTGATGGCATAGCCGATGGCGGAGCTGAGCCTGGTGAAGAAGTACTGGCAAAAGAAAGCCTGGACCTCCACCGTGCCGCCACAGGTCTCCGTCTTTGCCAGGCGCCAGATTCCCTGCGGCTGGAAGTCGAAGCCGTTCTCGTAGCCTTTGCGCCAACTGTGCTCCACGTGCGGGTCTCCCGTGACGGTGCAGTTGTCGAAGCACGTGGACGTCCAATCATAGTTGGGGCATTGGCCGCAATCGCACTGCCTGGCACACAGAACAAGAGAGGCCCCCTGGCGCAAGCCTAAGCCTAAGCCATCCTAAGCCACTAACAGACTAACAGGCTAACAGTCGAGCCGCTGGCCCAGGGCCCCAAAGGCCCAGGACCCCAGCAGAAGAAGGCGAAGAGAGGCCATGGCGACGAAACCCTTCTCCCGTCGAGCCAGCTGGGCCGCGGCAGATGGCTTGCACCGAAAGATCCCTACGTCCGTTTTCATCGATCGGCGAGGAGGGAGGGGGAGAGCGAGGGAGCGAGATAAGCAGAGAGAAAGAGAGAGGGAGCAGACAGTGACACAGAGCACGTTGTACAGGAAGAGAGAGTGATGCAGAGAACAACAATTCTCGAACTGGCCACGTGGCTTGCAATCACAGTCAAGCATTTCAAGCATAACATAATACCAGTACTGTAGAACCTATAGTGCAGTGTGGGACGTGAAACATACATAACACTGCACGAGTCAGGCCGAAACTGAAGTTCGTCGGGCCGGCCTCTGCTGCTTGTATCATAGAGAAAGACATAATCTAGGAGCCTTAATAATTAGAATAGGGGTTTGGGGCCCAGTATACTATATCTATAATAAGGAACCCCAAAATAAAGTATCGGTAATTACTTAGGCCCCTGTAGAACACCAAGCACTCGGCTAATCAATGGCGAACAGCACAACGGCTGTTGACGTGCATTGCCTTTCTGACACTTTTCTGAAGGCACAGCCTGCATCCGTATCCGCTGAGGCCACTTCGTGGCCACTGCATCGTCCACGGCTCACAAGGCTGCGGGCGCGCGCCCGGCAGCAAAACTTCATGACAAAACTTTTAAAATGCCGTCAAGCGGCTTGCAGGTCAGCATGCTACTAGCACTCGGCTGATGCATGAGACCATAGCAATCGAGAAGCGGCTACCTGCTGCCTTTTCTGATCCAGCTTATTCTCACAAGCTTCAGCGTTGCATTCTGGGCAGGTAGCTGCAGCTCAGAGTTGAAGTTAAAAGAATGCATTTTAGCACATGCGATGCCTCTTGGAGTGAGGCAACAAAAACTGGCTCGACATGGCGATACGCCCTGTACATAAGGTCTCGTACTGTCTAGTCGCTATGGGAAGATCGATGACGGTGACGCCGGCTGCCGTTGTCGTCCTTGGAGATGCGGCGGCGGTTGCCATCATCGTCATCGCCCTTGAAGATGCGACGGCGGGTGCCATCGTCGTCCTTGAAGATGCGGCGCCGGGAGCCGTCATCATCGTCACCCTTGCGACGACGG